AATCACGATTTTGATTTTTTTAAAATTTCAAACACTTTAAATGATTTATTTAGCACAGCTTTAGAAATTATTTTTAAAAAAATTATAGCTTGAAATTCGAAATTGACTTTATAAATTTTAAAGATTTTAATCGTAGGTCTTATATACTTATATTCTGCGACTCTTTCAAATTATTGTACAGTTTAAAATACATTTATGACTTAATATATTTTTAAAATTTTAATATCTAACGAATCTTTGAAATTTATTATGTATATATGAAGTAATAATTGGCTTAACAAATTTAGAATATTTTAATAGTTTATTCTGCGAATCTTTGATATTATTTACAATTCGAAATATGACTTTAGTTCTAACATCTAAAATATTTCAAGAATCTATTACGTGAAACTTAAAAATTTGGCTATTACAAGCTACATTACTTTGATCTTAATGATACCTCAATTAAAAATATTGTATTATAATGAAATCTTTATTATTTCAGCAAATGATTAATTAATGAGTAAATTTACTCGCTGAATTTAATTAACAGCGTAATAAATGGCTTTGATTTAAAATGGTTTAAGATAAATTAAGTTTAACAGTGCGAAGGCGGGGGTGGGAGGGGATGCGGTTCGAACAGGGTGACACCATTTAAGAGGTGACATCATTTAAAGAGTGACACCATTTAAGAGGTGACACCATTTAAGGGTTGACACCATTAAGGGATAACACTATTTAAAGGGTGATACAATTCAAGGGGTGACACCATTTAAGGGGTGATACCATTTAAGGGGTGACACCGTTCAAGGGGCAACATCAAATAATAAAGTCGTATAAAATATTTTATTTCACTAAAATGATAAAATAGTAGGAGGGAGGGGGTGACACCAAACTGAAAATACAAAATAGTTGAAGGGGGTGGGATGACACTCAAAGTTACAGCACCGGGTGTCGCCCGACCTAGTGACGCTACCTCTTACCACTTCTGTCCTCGATCCAATACATTTCAAACTTGTAATTACTTCAACACGAGTGTGAGATGTAGTTCAATATTGTTCAATCATAGTTTGAGTAGGTCAACGCCCTTTAAAAGGAAATCTAAAAATCTGGTTTTTCCTAAGAAGTATTATGTTTTACAAATAATTTGTTGCTATGTTTTTCCCCCTCTTAAAGCCGCAAAATTATAATTTTTTAATTTTTTTTTTTTTTTTTTTTTTTTTTTTTTTATTTTTTTTTGGGTAGTGTGCACATGGCGATAGAAATAAAACAAACATTAATCGGTTTGTTGGTAAATATCCGCTTAACGTCCCTGATGCTTTCCAGCTATGATGGCTAACGTATATGACGTCACATATTCCATCCAGCTATGATGGCTAACGTCTATGACGTCACTGAGTCGATCGTTTCTCCAGTCGATATGCTGTACATGTATCCAACCCATCCCCCCCCCCCCCCACCCAAATTTTTAAAAACTCAACCTTGTTCCTTATTGTTGTACCTGTTAAACGTGGCTTGTAGTTAATTAATATACTTTGTAATTAGTTCATGTATTTATATATTAATTAACATAACCATGTTGTTAGGTGGTTTTACTAGGTTAAATGCTAATAGAGACTGTACGTACAAAGGGCAGTAACCACAAAAAAATAATCGTGATCTTAAAAAATGTATTTAACATATATACGTATATATATATATATATATATATATATATATATATATATATATATATATATATATGAACAGATAGATGTACATACATATACATTATTTGCTTTGTACTTTCCTACTATAACTGTGTAACTGTTCACTTTTAAAATAATTCTTTGAACAATTATTTTGTTAAATAATTTTTGCAACGTACATTAATACATTCCTTTGATAATCTGTATCATAAATCCTTTGTAAATATTTATATTCTTATAAATGGTAGTGTTCAAATTTTTATATGCACATTGCAGGCTAAAACACTGATTTATATTTCTTTAAGATATTTTGTTATATTTTGTTTATATTTTTGTTGTCTTTTTAAGATATTTTGTTTATATTTTCGTTGTCATTTTAAGATATTTTGTTTATATTTTCGTTGTCATTTTAAGATATTTTGTTTATATTTTCGTTGTCATTTTAAGATATTTTGTTTATATTTTCGTTGTTATTTTAAGATATTTTGTTTATATTTTCATTGTCTTTTTAAGATATTTTGTTTATATTTTCATTGTGTTTTGATGATACTTTTTTTTGGCTTGATTTTCAAATAATTCAACATTATCCTGGCATTTATTTTGTAAAATATGTTTAGTGTATTTGTGCTTAAGGCAGACATTGTTTACAATGCTAAGACGTTAAAGGTCTGTTATGTACCCCACGTGATCTTGTGTATGGTGCCTTTACGTTTTGTGAGGATTTTCCTTACAATAAAACGTTATTTTCATAGAAAATAGACTGGCACTTTATGAATAAATTCAAAGCAATGTTGTATAAAATTTCGTTTTTTTTTTTTTTTTTGTTTTTTTTTTTTTTTTTTTTTTTTTTTGTTTCATAGTGTAAGGACCTGAATAAGGGTTTGGTTAAATATAAGCAAAAGGTTAGGATATATACCTGGGTTAGTGTAACAGTTTGTGATTTCAATAGTATTCTTCCGTTTCTATAATAAGGAGTAACATTTTAAATATAGCAAACAATTTAAATGAATAAAACAGAACAATTATTCATAAATGCGCATCGTTTTAATCACTATGAGAAACGAAAATAAAGTTTTAGAAAAAAAAAAAAAAAACAATTCTATTAGCGTAAAAAAAAGAAGTATTACTATTGTAAATCTGTATCAGTCCTCACAAGCCGATGATGAAAACTGTAATACTAAAGCGAACATGGCAAGGCAAACTGATACTGTAAATTAACGTCTAAAAAATGTAAAAATTACAAGACGTGACGAACCGACGTAATAGAAGTTCTATTTTTACGACGATTTATTTACGTCTTAAAATGACAGCTTTATTTATTTTTACACCCTTATTTTATCAGTACCTAGGTGGCATGTCCATGTGTCCGTGTTGTATACTCTGTATATTGCCGCTTCCAAAAATATTATTAAAGCCGAACTTTCGAAATACTTAGTGCCCGTACCCCCCCCCCCCCCCCCAAATAACCTTGTAGCCTTCACATTTGTATAAAACCTTTGCATTTAATGTGACATTCTTAACTCAATTATCATTGGCCTGTTGTCTTGTGTTATTTAAAATAAAGTTTCAACTCCGCAGGATATTGCTATAGTGTGTTGGGTGTGTATGGGTGGTTGAGTTTGATAATATGTTTGATACAGACGATTGTGTATGTGTCTGTGTGTATGTAGGTCCGTTCGTTTGTGTGAGCGTTTGAGTGTACTTTTAAGTGTGCGTGTGTTTGTGAGTGTGTGTGTTTGAGTGTGAGAATATGAGTTATTTGTTAAGTGTGTCTTTGTATGTGTGTATGTGTATGAAGTACAGCACTCTTTCCGACCAGACGTTCTGTGAGATAGATGAAGTGGAGTTCATCCGTTTTTTAGATCGCAGCGTATGCAAGGATAATGTGGTCAGCTGTTTGATTTTCCCAGTTCAGGTATCCATTAAGGCTGGGTTGACTCAGAGACATCCTACAGTGTCAGGTACCCATTAGAGCTGGGTTGACTCAGAGCCATCCTACAGTGTCAGGTACCCATAAAAGCTGGGTTGACTCAGAGACATACTACAATGTCAGGTACCCATTAGAGCTGGGTTGACTCAGAGACATCCTACAGTGTCAAGTACCCATTAGAGCTGGGTTGACTCAGAGACATCCTACAGTGTCAGGTACCCATAAAAGCTGGGTTGACTCAGAGACATACTACAGTGTCAGGTACCCATTAGAGCTAGGTTGACTCAGAGACATACTACAGTGTCAGGTACCCATTAGAGCTGGGTTGACTCAGAGACATACTACAGTGTCAGGTACCCATTAGAGCTGGGTTGACTCAGAGACATACTACAGTGTCAGGTACCCATAGAGCTGGGTTGACTCAGAGACATACTACAGTGTCAGGTACCCATTAGAGCTGGGTTGAATCAGAGACATACTACAGTGTCAGGTACCCATTAGAGCTGGCTTGACTCAGAGACATACTACAGTGTCAGGTACCCATTAGAGCTGGGTTGACTCAGAGACATACTACAGTGTCAGGTACCCATTAGAGCTGGGTTGACTCAGAGACATCCTACAGTGTCAGGTACCCATTAGAGCTGGGTTGACTCAGGAATGTCCTATAGTGTCAGGTACCCATTAGAGCTGGGTTGACTCAGAGACATACTACAGTGTCAGGTACCCATTAGAGCTGGGTTGACTCAGAGACATACTACAGTGTCAGGTACCCATTAGAGCTGGGTTGAATCAGAGACATACTACAGTGTCAGGTACCCATTAGAGCTGGGTTGACTCAGAGACATACTACAGTGTTAGGTACCCATTAGAGCTGGCTTGACACAGAGACATACTACAGTGTCAGGTACCCATTAGAGCTGGGTTGACTCAGAGACATACTATAGTGTCAGGTACCCATTAGAGCTGGGTTGACTCAGGAATGTCCTATAGTGTCAGGTACCCATTAGAGCTGGGTTGACTCAGAGACATCCTATAGTGTCAGGTACCCATTAGAGCTGGGTTGACTCAGGAATGTCCTATAGTGTCAGGTACCCATTAGAGCTGGGTGGATACGGAGAGCCATACAGGCGGGATTCAGTGATACGAACCCCAGACCGTTGTTAATTGTAATCGTAGTTTCTACCACTCGACTAATCTGTCCCATGTATATGCGTGTGTATAGGTGTTGTGTATTAAGCTAAAATAGGAGAGACAGTGCATGTATAACAGTGTATATGTGTGACTGTATGTGCCTGAAAAAGGTGCATGTCTGTGCGTGTATGTATGCTTGTGTTTGTGTGTACGTGTATGTGTTTGTGTGTACTTGTACGTGTGTTTGTGTGTATATGCGTGTGGTTGTCACA